GACCCGAAACGTCAGCTTTCCTGCTCCTCTGATGCTGCCTGGCCTGCTGTGTTCCTCCAGCTCCACACTGTGTTATCTCTGACTCCAACATCTGCAGTTCTTACTAAATCTACTTTATAAAAGCCGCCCATTTTAGTAGAGTAATTTACTTGTGCGATTCCAAGTACAAAAATCATAAAATGGATTTGATAGAGTGGACACAGAGTGCACACCTTAAAATGATCGCAAAACCATTTAGGAGCAAAACTTTTGCACACAGGATAATGGAAGTTTGAAATTCTCTCTCCAGAGTGGTCTTGGATACTAGACATTTAGATGGATGGATTTTTGTTTGTTACAGCTACCAGGGGATATGGAGTGAAGGTGGAGGGGGTTGTGGGAGGAAGCTGTGATAAATGACATCGAGGTGTAGATCTTTCATAAATGGATGAAACACTGCTCCAGACCCCTGGGCCACAAAGTCATCTTCCTGGTTCTATATGAAAGCAGCATTTCACCCCAATGAATAGTTCATAATATTTCAGAAAAATTATCAGTTATGGTGAGTAAATGAACAGCATTTACCTTCTAGTTCTGAAATCATAGATTCATGTTTATTCTTCAGTTTTGTCAGGTTCTTTGCCTTTTCTTCCTCCTCTGCAAGATTGGTGGTAAAGTCAGCTATTCTCTCTTCTAGAAGTTTCTTTTCCTGTTACATGGATAGAATTGAGATTGGGTTAAATCCACAGTGACACGAGTGATTTTCTCCCAATCTGTGCATATGTAGGGGTTCATTGAAGAGTCTTACTGCAGGATGTTAGCATGTCCCAGGATGGGTTATTGGCTGACCAAGCCAATTTCTAAACAAATAATTACTTTAGCTAAATGCCACACTCCTGAGCTTGCCTCTCATTGTTTAAGAGTTCTCTATCCTAACTGAAAACGTGGACTATATCATGACTCTGTGTGAGAATAGAAACCGTACTGAGCTCTGTAATTTGTCGCTGTCCTTGTCACTTGTACATAACAATGGCACTTGTAACCAGTCCTCGGTCACACCCAGTTGTGAGATTTATAACTTAACTCATCAGGACGGAAGCCAATAGGATTCGGTAGAATGTTGGCTTTACATTTTGTCTAATTTTGCTCATTTCGGTGAGAGTAAAATCAGACAGGGTGTAAAATGAGTGTTTCATCCCGTTCCATCAGATTTCTGGTGAAAAGTATTAAAAGTATTAAAGTATCCCCTTTGGGGGCTGATGCAGCAATATGTAAATTCTACAGAAATGCTCTGACAAGTCACGCGTAGTGGTTGTAATGAGATCAGCCAGATGGACCTCATAGAATACGAGTTCCCTGATTAGGGCTGTTAATCTGGTCCAATCAGGGAGCCCTGACTGACAGATATAAACAGCAGTGTCAGAGGCTGTGCTCACTCTGAGAGCTGACTTTGAGGGAACTGGATCAGCGTCAAGGACTCTCCACGTGTAAATAAAGGGTAACTCGGTGACAGGATACCAACCTCAGTGGAGTTATTTCACCTGACCTTTGCAAATTTGATGTTCTGGTCCTCCAGGATTATGATATCGTCGTCCATCTTCTTCAGCTTTGCCTCGAGGGTCACTTTCTCCAGCTGCAGTTTCTGTCGCGCAGCTTCCTCCTCATCCAACTGTTCCTCCAGATCCTTGAGGAAAAAATGTACTCAGGGAAAGGTCTTTGCATAAGAATTACTATCATCGCGGCTAAGGGGCAAAATAGAGTCTCTCCATTCTTACTTCAAAGTGTACTGCAACATCAAGAAGCATTAATTAGTAATGTAGAGAATCGGCTGCTCTCAACACTGGATCATTTCATTCAAGCCTTGCTACTTATAGAGGCAGAGCTCTAGTGTAATAGCACTGGAATTAGCACTGGAATTGTTATTTTGGGCAAAGTAAACACTTCAATGACCAATTACACCAACTTCCATCAATGACCAACCAGCTACAAAACCAACAATGACTGGTAGGTTCACATGAAGGATCACACAAGGAGGATGAAGGGGCAGAGGATAATGGAAGCTAGAGGATGATGGGTGCATTCTGTTCCACACTGGCAGACACCTATCATTTCATGTCATAGCTTTGGGGAACAGAAACGTAGAAACATGGAAAATAGCAGCAGGAGCAGATCATTCGGCCCTTTGAGCCTGCTCTGCCATTCAATAAAATTGTGGCTGATCGTCCAACTCAATCCCCTGTTCCTGCTTTCTCCCAGATACACTTTGGTCCCTTTCGCCCTAAGATTGCTGGTCTGGAGGGATTGTATTATGAGCAAAGGCTAAACAGGTTGGGACTGTACTCACTGGAGTTTAGAAGAATGAGAGGTGATTGCATTGAAACAGATTGCATTCTTAAGGGACTTGACAGGGTAAATGTTGAGAGAATGTTTCCTGTCATGGGAGAGTCTAGGACTAACGGGAACAGTCTCAGGTAAAGGGTGTTGATTGAAGACTGAGATGAGGAGGGATTTCTTCCCTCAGACGATTGAGAGTCTTTGGAACTCCTTGCCACAGGGAGCTGTAGGGGCAGAGTCCTTGTGCATATTTAAGGCTGAGCTAGATAGGTTGTTCAACAGTTGGGGAATTAAGGGTTACAAAGAAAGGGCAGGAAAGAGGAATGTTGGGATTAGCAATGATCCTATTGAATGGTGGAGCCGGCTCAAGGGGCTGAATGGTCTACTCCTGATCTTATTCATTCAGGTTTTATGGTTATTGGGGGATCTTCAAAGTGGGAAACAGATAATGAAATGTGATCTCAACACTGAACTATCTTGGCGGAGGAAAGCCATTCCAATTTAAATTCTCCTCTCTGCAATTTCTGATTTACCAGGATTTGGGTTTGCATTTTCTTCTTTTCCGTTAGCATTTGCTGATTCCGCTCCTCCTCCTCTTCAATCCTCGCTTCCATCTCATGGAGAATCTCCTCCAGCTCCTGCTTTTTGGATTCCAAGCGAATCCTCATCTCCTCAGCCTCAGCGTATAGCTCTGTTTCGGCTTGCAACTGCTCCTGAAGGGTAGTCTTCTCCTCCATTATCTAAAGGCACAAACAGGGGCTGAACATTGTGAAAACGTAACTCCAAGCCATCTAATGGCCTAAAAGCTGGAATCATCTCACTGTAAAGTTCAACAAAGGATGGCATGCTAGCTCAGTGGTTAGCACTGCTGCCTCACAACACCAGGGTTCTGGCTTCAATTCCATCCTCGGGCAACTGTCTGTGTGGAGTTTGCATGTTCTCCCCATGTCTACGTGGGGTTTCCTCCGGGTGCTCCGGTTTCCTCCCACAGTCCAAAGATGTGCAAGTTAGGTGGATTGGCCATGCTAAATTTCCCCATAGTGTCCAGGAATGTGCAGGGTAGGTGGTTTAGCCATGGCATATGCAGGGTCCCAGGGATAGGGTGGGGAGTTGGGTCTGGGTAGGATGCTCTTCAGAGGTTTGGTGTGGAGTCAATGGGCTGAATGGCCTGCTTCCACCCGGTCGGGATTCTATTCTATGACTTGAACATAACTTAATCATCCCTTGCCCATCTGCATTCCATAACATGCAAAACCTAAGTCGGCAATCCATCACAACTTGACAGAATGAAGTATCTCACAAAATAAGGTAGATACGTCAAAGAAAATCTCTGATTATTCCATTCAACAAAAATGGATAACAACACAAAAAGTAAACAGAAAGTGCTGGAGAAACTCAGCAGGTCTGTCTGTGTCTGTGAAGACAGAAATAGAGTTAACGCTTTGAGTCCAACATGCTACTTTTTTGGAACAGTTCTGTAGAAGAGTCACTGGACTTGAACCATTAACTCTGTTTGTCTCTGCACAGCAGAGATCTGCTGAGTCTCTCCAGTACTTTCTGCTTTTATTTTAGAATCTCAATTTCTGCGCTATTTTGCTTTTACAGAAAAAAAACCTATTCATCGTTCACTTGAAAGCCACTTTCACTTATTCAGAGTCATTAAGCCAGCCAAACTGTACCTTTATTCACAATATTGTTTAATGTTACTGGGTGGATGTTTGAGGAACGGACCGTGAATGAGGAACTGGATCCATGTTATGACGTGGTTTTACCTGAGTGTGTTTCTTTTCAAGTTCTGAGAGACTGAGTTCTGCCTTCTGCTGCTTTTCTTTGGTTCTCTGCAATTCATCTTCTTTCAGTTGCATTTCCTCCTCCTGTCGTGTGACTTGTAGAAGTGGTTTAACCTGCAGCCAGGACATGAAGATCAGAGCATCAATTACTAATCGGCTTTTCTCCCCAGAGAGTTCCTCACTATTTACCAATGTCCTAGCATCTTCAAACAACCACTCAGAGAAACCATTGAATAAGGATGAAAGTTGATCTCAAACATAGGTATTCATTTAGAGAATGAACTTAGAAACAAACAAATTAGGAGCAAGAGGAGGCCATTCAGCCTTCTCTGCCATTCGATAAGATTGTGGCTGATCTGATTCGTCCCCCCGCTTTACTTAACAAGAATCTGACTACTTCTGCCTTTAAAAATGCTCAAAGTCTCTGCTTCCACTATCTTTTGAGGAACAGACTTCCAAAACCTCATGACTCTCTGTGACAGAAAATCTCTCCTTATTTGTCACTCCCTTAATGAGGTGATGCCTAGTTCTAAACACCCCTACAGGAGGAAGCATCTTCTTCACGTGGACCCAGACACGACCCCTCAGGATTTGATGTATTTCAATCCATTCATCTTCTATTCTTCCAAACTCCAGTGCGCACAAGCCTAGACTGTTCAACCTTCCATCATAAGACAGCCTGCCCATTCCAGACAATCTTCTAATGAAACTCCTCTGAGCTGCTTCCATTATTCCCATCTTTCCCGAAATAAAGTGGCCAATACTATGGACAGTATTCCAGATGTTGGTCTCACCTGTATAACTGAAATGTAACCTCCATACTGCTGTATTTAATCCTCTCACAATAAATGATACATTCACTTGCTGTACCTGTATGTTAACTTCTGCAAACCATGCACTGGGACACTAAGTTCTCTCTGAATCTCAGAGTTCTGCAACCTCTCCCTCACTATTTGGATAATATGCTTCTTACTGCTGACCCGGACAATTTCACATTTCCCCACATCACAATCCATTTGCCCGATCTTTGCACACTCACTTAAACTGATCTAAATCCATCGGTAGCCTTCTTATGTTCTCTTCATGGCTTACTTTCCTACCAGTCTTTGTGTTATCAGCTAATGTAACTACCATACTCTTTATCCTTGTTATTTATGTCAATTATAAAGTAACTGGGGACCCAGCACTGATCCCTGTGGCACACAACTCAATACATCTCAACAAGCTAAAAATAGCTCTTTTATGCATGTTACCATTTCCTGTTAGCTTTCCAATCTTCTATTCATGCTGGAATGTTACACTCTACTCCTCAAGTTCTTTTACCTCACAATATCCTTTCATGCGGCAACTTACCAAATGCCTTCTGGAAATCCAAGTACTCTACATCTACTAGTTCCCCTTTATTCAGCCTGTGTGATTTCTTCAATTAACTCCAACATCTCAATCAAACATGATTTCCCTTTCACAAAACCATGTTGACTTCTGCCTGATTATCTTGAACTTCTCTCAGGGCTATCATGTCTTTAACAACAGCCTCCAAGTCTTTCCCCCTGACAGATATTAAACTAACTGGTCTGTAGTGTCCTACTTTCTGCCTCCCTCACTTTTTAAGTAAAGGAATTATCTTCTAATATAATGGAACATTCCCCAAATCAAGGGAGCTTTAGAAAATTAAAATCCTACCTCAACCATCTCATGAACTATTTCTTTTAAGATGAAATCCGTCAGGACCCAGGGATTTGTTATGTTCTGTTCCAGTGTTAAAGTTTATACACAAGGCTTATACAAATGGATTCTAACTGAAATTGAGCTTAAACATATTTATGTGAAGAACTATTGAAAATAAATATCAGGCAACAGAAACAGCCACTGCCCTGAGAACTTTCAAACTGAGATAAAACAGACATTTTCTTTTTGCAAAAATGTTTTTTTATGGTCAACATGTTTGTGCAGATGAAAAGGAATGACGAAGAAGCAGAGATTTCTTTATGGTTTTCATGGATAAGCAAATATTCCCTTCCTCTTTGTTATCATGTGTATCATTAATCTCTAGGCTTACATATAGAGTAAAAGAACACAGTTAGCAGATACTTTTTTTAATGATTGTTAAAGGGTCATACTTTCTTCTGTCTGCTAATGTTTGAAATGAGGCCAATGCTGGCATTGAGATCGACCCTTTCCGGCCAGAAGGGTTGAATGGCCTATTCCTGTTCATAGGTCCACTCAGGGTCATTGCTGGTCTAACAGTAGAAAATACGTAGATCCTTGAAGGAATTAAGAAGCAGATGAAAATTATTTTGAGCTAACCTTTGTGAATAGTCTCCACCATTGCCAGTTCCGTAGTTTAAGGTAAGCTGCACAGTTTCTCTGAATGACTTTCATTGCATTAAGTTGCTGCTGTCGTTTAGCAAAGGCCCTGTAACCAGTTAGAGAACCATCAGCATTTCACACTCACACCTTGTGACAACAGGTAAGAAAACAAACTTAATAAAAATTTTATTCATTCACAGGATGAAGGCATCACTGGCCAGGCAGCATTTATTGCCCATCCCTAATTGCCGAGAGGGCAGTTAAGATTCAACCACATTGCAGTGGGTCTGGAGTCACATGTAGGCCAGACAAGGTAAGGATGGCAGTTTCCTTCCCTAAAGGATATTAGTGAACCGGCTGGGTTTTTTTCCCCAGCAATCAGGAATGCATATATATGGTCATCATTAGACCAATCATTCCAGATTTTTATTGCACTCAAATTCCATCTGCCATGGTGGGGTTTGAACCCAGGTCCCCAGAACATTATCTGGGACTCTGGATCAACAGTCTAGCAATAATACCACTAGGCCATCGCCTCCCCTAATGGCAGTTTTGTTACAAAATACTGGGCTAATGTTCATCAAAATAACATCGAGTGCATTGTAAAATGCTAGAGGGTACTTGTGCAGTACAAATGGATTTTTACAGTGTGCTCACTTTCTGGCCAGGTAGCCTCGGCTTCGAGCTTGGAAAGAAATAATGACATCTGTAATTTTCAGGTCTCTCTCCTCTTCTAAGTGAGCCAGAACTCCAGTTCGGAAGAAGATCTTACTCTGTCCAATCCTGTACAGGTTAGAATCTAGTTCCAGGCTTTTGATCTAAAATAGTCACAATACTTTTTTTCAGTAGCAACTCAGAATTTCCATTAATAGACAGAAAAAGAAGTAAATATCCTGCTGCTTCCGTGATCTGCAATAAACAACGTTGTATAGATAACCTGTTGTGAATCGACACTGTTGAGTGAAAATGTACATATTACAGGAATAGGGGGATCTCTCACTCTCTCCCTGTTTTATGTATCCGTTGCCCAGTCACTGCTTTAGACAAAGTGAATATGCAGCTCTTCCCAAAGTGGGGGTCAGGGCCCTATTGTAGGGTTATGAGCTCAGAGTCTACAATGACCACTGCGGAACTCCGACAGATTCAAAACAGTTGAACTCCCACTCTAACAGGCCAAGGTTCTCACTGACACCGCCCCCAGCACCCACCCCACTACAACCACACATCCCCCTCCCCCCACTTCGTCCTGACCCCCTCAACTCTCACTGAGAGTGTTGTAACAATTTCCAAAACATGGCCACAGTGGGAATAAGTTTGGGCAGCACCGATCTCATTTTTGAAATACATTATTTTTATGCTGCATATTAATCATGGTGGAAGGTGCAGCACCAACTGGAAATATTTGTTCTATTGTAGTGGCTTTAACTTTCCAAGCTAGGTATTCCTGATGCTCAGTGTTGCTAACATAGTCAGAAATCACACAACACCAGGTTATAGTTCAACAGGTTCATTTGAAAACACAATCTTTCGGAGCCTTACTCCGAAATGTATCTGAAATATAAATATATCTGTTGAATTTACCGACTTGCATATTTTGGGCATATTCAACTTTGCAAATTTCCAATGGAAAACCTAGGAGTTGCTGATAAATGCTGCAATGGCTTCTCAGCAAATATCAAACTTCCAACTATCCAACTACTGCTTAAAACCGTCCACTACCTGTCTCAGTACAGTACATCCAACTCCTGCTTCTCTCAACTCATTCTGGAAAATCACAACTTTAAGTGAAACAACTTTAAGTGAATCATGGGCTCCCATAGAGATCAATATTAAAGACAGAATTAGGTTCTTTCCGATATAACTCACTCAAGAAAAAAGACAATGGACAGGTTGAGATATTGTACCATACATGTGCAACATTGTGTATTGCTAGCTGAAATATCTGACAAAATATAAAAGAAGCACAATACACAATAAAAGATATAATCAAACATCTGATCCTGAACTGGCTCCATCCAGTGGTAGAAGCTGGTATTAGCTGAAGTCCTTCTGCAGTGACTATTGTCTGTCACTAGATGGCAATCAGGACTTCAGTGAAGGTCATAGAACATAGAACAGTACAGCACAGTACAGGCCCTTCGGCCCACGATGTTGTGCCGAACTTTTACCCTAATCCTAAGGTCTATCTAACCTCCACCTCTACCTTATACTATCATCCATTTGCCTGTCTAATAGCCGCTTAAATGCCCCTAATGAGCCAACTCCACTACCCTCTCCGGCAAAGCATTCCACGTCCCGACCACTCTCCGAGTAAAGAACATACCTCTGACGTCTCTACTATATCTACCTTCACTCACTTTAAAACTATGCCCCCTCATGATAGCTACCTCCACCCGAGGAAAAAGTCTCTGGCTGTCTACTCTATCTATACCTCTGATCATTTTGTACACCTCTATCAAGTCACCTCTCATCCTTCGTCGTTCTAAAGAGAAAAGCCCTAGCTCTCTCAACCTTTTCTCGTAAGACCTTCCCTCCATTCCAGGCAACATCCTGGTAAATCTCCTCTGCACCTTTTCCAACGCTTCCACATCTTTCCTGTAATGAGACGACCAGAACGGAACACAATACTTTAGATGTGGCCGAACCAGGCTTTCGTATAGCTGGAGCATAACTTCACAGCTCTTGAACTCAGTCTCTCTATTAATGAAAGCTAACACACCATATGCCTTCTTAACAACTCTATCCACCTGGGTGGCAGCTTTCAGGGAACTGTGGACATGAACCCCAAGGTCCCTCTGCTCCTCCACACTGCCAAGAATCTTTCCGTTAACCCTGTATTCTGCTTTCAAGTTTGTCCTTCCAAAATGAATCACCTCAAACTTTTCAGGGTTAAACTCCATCTGCCACTTCTCAGCCCAGCTCTGCATCCTATCAATGTCCCTTTGTAACCTAGAACAGCCCTCCGCACTATCCACAACTCGACCCACCTTCGTATTGTCCGCGAACTTACTAATTCACCCTGCCACTCCTTCATCCAAATCGTTTACAAAAATCACAAATGGTCTTCAGTGACCATTTTTCGCTTATTCTATCCAAATTCCAAATCCCAATACTTAGGTCATATTTACTCTTAAAAGTTAAGAATTTGAAGCAGATTCATTTATGTTCTAAAGATTTACTGGAAAGTTAATATTTCCGCCTTTTCCTACTGCCAAATCACCAATTTATATTCTTCTAGAGAAAAATTAGGGAGAAATATCAGGAAGCCGTACAAGGTCCAGAAAACAGCTACAAAAGATCCTGTTAACTCAAGGATCACTCTCTGGGACAGCAAAGACTCAATTCTAAGATTCTATCAACAACTCTTGCCCTGAAAACAGAAGTAAACATAACTGATCAGATAACACAAAATCATCCATCCCCATGTTGTAAATAAGATTTAGACAATAAGACCATTAAAAATAGGAATACAAGTACACCATTTGGCCCCTTAAGCCTGCTCTGCCATTTGATAGGGTAGTGGCTGATCCAACACTGCTCATATCCATTTTCCTCCCATTTCCCCTTAAATTCTTGAGGAATCAAGGATTATCTATCTCAGTCTTAAATATATTCAAGGACTCTGCCCCTATAGAAGCATGGAGTTACAAAGACTCTCAACCCTCAGAGAAGAAATCCATCCTCATCTCATTCTTGAATTGGCGTCCCTTTATTCTGAGACTATACCCTCTAGTCCTACACTCTCCCACAGAAGGGAAACATTCTCTCATCATTAACTCTTTAAAACCTTTTCAGAATCCTATTCTCATACAGGTCAGTGTGAAGCCAGGACCCAGGAGAAGATCCAAAGGGACTAAAGTCATGACAGAGGGTCTGAAGAGCAAGGACAGGAGATGGGGGGTGGGTGGGGAGAGGGGAAGGAAGCAATGTCAGAGGTGGCAGTGAGAACTGGGGAGGGGGGGGCGTGAGACTGAAGGTAAATACAGAAGTGCTGCGGGAAAGGTCATGTCAGCATGCAGGACAAGGAAGGGGAAGACTGTAGCAAATGATGTTAAAGTCAAACTAATAACATTAAATGGATATATTGACACTACGTTCCTAATGACATTAAAGTGAAACAATGTTAAGTGAGACCCCGTTAAGTGGGGACGTCCTGAATGTCACATACCATAAGTACACAGGCCTGTTTCCCATCCATGAACCCTTTTGGAATAGCACCCGGTGTTAGGATTTCATATCTATTAAAAAAAAACAACATTTTTGATTGATAATTCATATATTTATCCAGTTCAAATTTAATAATAAAGCAATGTTAGTGACTCAGTATTTACAAAAGCCTGAACAACTCCCAGGTTGGGAACGTCAGTTCGAGACAGTTCCCATCTCCACAATGCCGACCTGAAAAGCAGTGCCCCCTGGAGGTTCGGATTTTCACTCCGGGATGGGCAGGTGAAAATGGTGGGGAGGGGGATCCTGGAAAGATTGCAAACGCTGCTGGGTGTGAAGAGGGTATGGGGTGAAGGTTTGGCCTCAGTGAAAGGAAGAATAAGTCACACCCCTCCCTACCAGGCCCTTACCTCGCAAACTCCTTCACTTCTCCTCCAAGCCCTAAGGCCCTCAAACACCACCCATCCGAATTGATACCCTCCTCCTGTCCCATATAGCCCATATACCAACTGTAATCAAACTCATGCTCCCAAGGCCCCTCATATTCCAACCACCACGCCCCCCCACCCCATGCTAAACCATGCCCTCTAAATGAAATCGTATACATCATAAACTAAATGACTCTATATTAAACGATCCAACTTGAGGATGTTAGAGCAGGATCTAGAGACCAGTAGGGTCTATTCATTCAGCTCTTTGTAAAACCCCTTCAGATTGAAAAATTAATATTGAATTTATCAATTTGTCCCATTCGTGGGACTAGCAACCAACAATGTTTTAGTTACCTTTGGCGGAATTCCTGGAAGATAATCCTGTTTGGGAATCCCTGTCGGCAGATTCGGATCCCCTCCAGAACACCATTGCATCGCAGCTGCTCCAGTACCAGGTGTGCATCAAGTTTTCCAGCCTGTTCAAGTAAACTTCAATCAGTTAAACCCAGTAAAGCCAAAGAGCTTTCAAACTTGTACACAGGGACCTGCATAGACCAGTAGGTCATTATCAATGTTTTATAAACTTTTACAGGTCCTTTTATCACATGACGTAATTCCAAAGGCGACCCAGTGGATGTGATCTATTTGGATTTCCAGAAGGTAAGGTGCTGCACAGGAGGCTGCTAAATAAGTATAAGATACCATGGTGATAGGGGCAAGGTACTTGCATGGATAGAGGGTAGGCTGACTGGCAGAAGGCAGAGAATGGAGATAAAGGGGTCTTTTTTGGATGGCAGCTGGTGACTAGTGGAGTTCCTCAGGGATCCATGTTGGGATCACGACTATTGATGTTATACATTAATGATCTGGACAAAGGAACTGAGGACATTGTTGCTAAGTTTGGAAATCTGAAGCACAAAGGAACTTGGGATTCTGTTAAGGTTAACATGCAGGTTCATGTGGCGGTAGGGAAGGCAAATATAATATTAGCATTCATTTCAGGAAGGCTAGAATTCAAAAACAGAGATGTACTGCTGAGGCTTTATAAAGCTCTGGTCAGACCGCACTGTGAGCAGTTTTGGGCCCCATATCAAAGGATGTGCTGGCATTGGTTGAGGTCTAGAGGAGGTTTACAAGAATAATCCTGGGGATAAAGGGCTTGTCATATGAGGAGTGGTTGAGGACTCTGGGTCTGTACTCAATGGAGTTTAGAAGGATGAGGGAGGATCTGGTGGAAACTTACAGAATACTGAGAGGCCTGGATAGAGTAGTCATGGAGAAGATGTTTCCACTAGTAGGAGAGTAGGACCTGAGGGCACAGCGTCAGAGTGAAAGGACAATACTTTAGAACTGAGATGAGGGGGAATTTCTTCAGCCAGAGAGTAATTGATTTGTAGAACTTATTGCTGTGGAGGGCTGTGGGGGCCAAATAATTGAGTGTATTTAACACAGAAATAGATAGGTTCTTGATTAATAAGGGGATCGAGGTTTACAGGGAGATGGCAGGAGAATGGGATTGAGATCAGACATGATCGAATGGTGGAGCAGACTCTATGGGCTGAATGGCCTAATTCTGCTCCTATATCTTATGGTCTTATGGTCAATCCATTCACTTTCATATTCCTATTTTAAAATTTTGCCTAAACTTGTAACTGCCCTTTACTTAGTTATAAATGGCTCATCTAGTTATCTTCATGATTAAGATAAAGTCACCATAGTCCTACTGAAACATAAGCCTGTTCTCTCTCACTAGAGAGCGATGACTGGTGGGTGTTTAAGCTGAGGGTTATTATGCCACAGGGTGAGGGGGAGAGGTTGAGAAGGAGAATCCTTCATGGTAACTCAGCTGGTGTGGGAACTGAACCCACACAGTTGGCATCATCCTGCATCACAAACTAGCCGTGCAGCGACTAAGCTAATTGGCCACCTTAAAATGTACTTGTAAATCATTGTAAATATGGCCTATCAATATCCAACTTCCAACACCTTTTTCTAATATCTGAGACCTTCACAGACTAAAGGGACTTTTGAACGAGGATGGTACTGACCTAAAATGGTTGTTGAGCCAAACTCATCAGTAAACAAGGAACAGTCTGAATCACAAGTAACCTCATTATGAGTCACAAATGGATCGTGTTTTAGACTACTGCTTTAGAGCAATAAAACAGAAAGAGAAAGAAAAATTAACTTATAGCAGCAAGAAGATAGGAGCCTCTCCAACCTTGTGTCTCTCAATTTTGAAGTCTGTGCCCAACAGAAGAAGAATTTGGTCAAGAATTTTGTCAAGATCGACAAATATGAAATATGAAAGGTTTTGCTGAAGGAATGAGACAATAGCCAAGATTTGTGAGGCATGTCATTTTCATCATTTAAGGACTCTAAATGGCCTCCCCACTTATTTTTACCTGTGTTTGTGTGTGTGTGCTTGGTATTGTATTTTTATTATTTCTTAAGGGTAGTGGGTAATAAAGTGCTTCTTTCAAGAAAACTATGGAACTTGCCTCCTATGTTTTGATCTAGTTAATTACATATTAGTGTCAAACCATGTGCTAAAAAATTAAATACAAATATTTGCTGTGACTAACCCAGGGGAGATTAAAAAGCCAGGAGCTGATTCTGTCTCCTCCTCTGGTTGTAACTAAGTTCACTAAGAAAGATTGTGCCTGTAGGTTTAACAATGACTATGATGGTAGATTGCTAAAACCACATATTCAATCCCTTTCATATCAAGTGTTTAGCCAACTGTGGACTTTCTACAGTAATAAAGAAAAATTTCAACTCCACATTTCCTGTTGTATTTTCTGGTTCTGGTGAGTTTGAAATAAACTCACTGACGAGTTAAAATGCTAGAATTTGGAATTTTATTGAGTGTTGTTTTTTGTAGCTCTCTCCATGTGGCTGGTGAGCTGATTAGTACACGACACATGACAGCAAGGTTGCAGTGAATGCAACACCAGTTAGTTCCTGTCTATGTACAAATAATACAACAATGTAACACCACTTGGAATCCTCCTGTGTGAAATCAACTCTGTTCCAAACAATGAACGTTCTTATGAATGTGGAGACAGGATTGTGCTAACTTACTCTCTTTTCATGGTTTGGAATGATACAGCGTACAAAGTTGGGGCTGGTGTTTCGCAGTGTTGTCATGAGCTTTCCCAGCTGCTCCTTGTACAACTGGCCCACTGTACGAAACATGCCCTTCTTCGTCTTTGAGGCTCCTTGGATACTTTCACTCATTTTAGCCACTTGGTCCAATCCAACAATACGGTCCACTTTAAAATATAAAGGAGGCACAATCAGTTTTGACCATTTTGTAGATGTGTGAAATAGATGTGCTTTCTGGCTTGTTTTTGTGAATTATCTGTCAAAGATGAACAGGAGGAGGCTATTTATCCCCTTGACCATTCTGCTGTTCAGTGAAATGGTGGCTGATTGGTGATTGTCGAGCTGCCTTCACCTCATCCCATAACACCTGAATGTTGCCCGTAATCAGTTCTGGTCTGCATTCACTACTCTGCAGTTTAGAAGAATGAGAGGCGATCCAGTAATGAGGAGGCGACGGCCGAGCGGTATTATCACTGGACTGTTAATCCAGCGAACAAGGTAATGTTCTGGGGAATGCCGGTTCGAGTTTGAATTCAATAAAAATCTGGAATTAAGAGTCTAATGATGACCATGAAACCATCGTCAATTGTTGGAAAAACCTGTTTGGTTCATTAATGTCCTTTAGGGAAGGAAACTGCCATCCATACCTGGTCTGGCCCACATGTGACTTTAGACCCACAGCAATGTGGCTGACTCTAAACTGCCCCCTGGGCAATTAGGGATGGGCAATAAATGCTGCCTGGCCAGTGACACCCTCATCCCATGAATGAATTTTTAAAAAATGAGGTGTATAAAATCCTAAAGAGGATTGAAAAGTTGATGTACAGAGGATGCTTTCTCATGCCAGACAATCGAGAATGAAATGTTTAGGATACGGGTGTCAGATTTAAAACAGAGATGAGGAGAAATTACTTCTCTCAGAGGCGTGCGAATCTGTGGAACTGACTCCCCCAGAGGACAGTGGATATTATTTAATGTCAGGGCATTAAATAAATTTAAGGAGGAGAAAGATTTTTAATGAGTAATGGGTTGAAGGGTTGTGGAGAGTGGACAGGAAAGTGGAATTGAGGCTGAGATGAGATCAGCCATGATAGTACTAAATGGTGGAGCAGGCTAAGGGGGCTGAATGGCCTACTCCTGCTCCTAGTTCTTGTGACCTTAAAATCAGTCAATCTCAATTTTAAATTAAAGTAACCAGTGACCAGGGCTATTTGTGGAAGAGAGTTCTGAACCTCTGCTGACCTGTAAAGGTGTTCTCTCATTTTTCTGCTATGTCCCCTTGTCCTAATCTCTCTGATCCAATGGGGAGAGAGAAATGTGTTGGTCAGTATTGGATCTAGCATTGGCTATTGTCACTGTATATGTAATCCAGAGGCTAATATTCTAGGAACATGGGCTTAAATCCCACCTTGCCAGCTGGTGGAATTTATATTCAATTCTTGAATCTGGAATTGAAAGCCAATTTCAGAGATGGTGGACTTTTGAGACTATCATTGATAATAAATCTATCTGGTTCACTGATGCATTTTTCAAAGGCGAATTTGCCTGGTCTGGCTCACATGTGACTCTAATGTGTGGGTGTTTGAATCTGGGTTCCAGAAAAACAAGACTAAAATGCCATCTGAGATTCACTGTTTAGCAAATTAATGATGGTTTGGCTGAATTACCAGGCTCAGTGCCATGCGCTGGTGGAGGGTTTAGGGTGTGGGTCAGGCGAGGTAGAAAATGCATCAGATGACTTGGATTGCAGTTTCCAGCTCCGGCTGGGAATGTGGTGGAATTCTAACTGAGCCACTCCACTGCAACACCTGGAAAATAATTGCTCCTTACCATAGGAATTTCAAGAGCTAGATCTACAGGAATGCGGCTGATTCTTAATTACCTTTCATAATGGCCAAGCCGGCCACTCAGTCAAGCGGCATTTTTTATTATTATTTATTCATTCAAGGGATATGGGCTTTTCTGGCTAGGCCAACATTTATTGCTCATCCCTAATTGTTAGGAGTCAACCACATTGCTGTGGGTCTGGAGTCACGTGTAGGCCAGGCCAGGTAAGGATGGCAGTTTCCTTCCATGAAGGACATTAGTGAACCAGATGGGTTTTTCCTGACTGTTGACAATGGTTTCATGGTCACCATTAGGCTCTTAATTCCAGACTTTTAAAAGAAGTTGCATCAGCTAGGAGCAGGTTTTGAATGCAGCTCCCCAGGACATCACCTGGGTCCCTGGTTTAATAATCAAGCGATAATGCTACAAGGCCATCGTCTTCCTTAATGAGGGATGGGGAACAAATTCTGACCCTACCTGTCACACCCAATTCTGTGACAGAATAAGGAAAATAAATGGAAGGAGATTCTCCTAATCTACTCTATCAGCTCCCATCAAAAGCTTAAATAAAATTGAATAAATCACCCCCTTAAATACTTGATTTTCAAGTAAGCACAAACTCTGTGCTATCCCTTCTAGTGGTTTAACCAGGTATCATTCCAATAAATCTAATCTGTCCTCTCTTCAAAGCCAATGTCTCCTTCCTAAAGTGTAGTGCCCAGGACTGAACACAATATTCCAACTGTGGTCCAACTCAGACTTTGAATAAGTATTTGTTCATCCTAAAATAATATCACCCCCTTTCATTTAGTCAGAGTGGTGTAATACCCACAACGTTATTCTCTGGTTCGTTTCTCAGAAGGAGCTGGCTTCCTATAGTCATGAGATTCTCCAGAACCAGCCATCCCCATTGCTGCAGTCATAGTGCAGAGAATTGGAGGAATGTTCTTGTGCTTATAACTACTCGCTCTTCATTAATTTGCAAGTGCATATTTTGTTCAAAAGAAAAGTCTGTGTGAAGTGGGAAGGATCACACAGCCCGGGCACTGACACCCTGCACAAAGATGCACCCAGATAGTTATTTTTTGAAATAGCCATTGCAGGTTCATGAATTGTCTGTAACGTTCTCACCATCTCGCCATAGTTCTGCTACATATTTATCAGATGATTGGTTGAGCAGTGAAGCGACATTATCGTTTAACGGATCCATGTTCTTGGTCAGCCAGTTTCCTGCATTGTAAGGCACCTAAAGAACAAGTCTGAGTGTTAACATCTTTGGGCTTTGCATTGTTTCATGATGTCCCACAGGACTCTGCGGTCTGTTCTTAGTTTTTTTTTTGGAAAACAAAGCACATACTGAAATTTCTCAGAATTTTTTTTCTCTCTGAAGAGCCTCATTGTATTTATTTTCTCTGCAATATAAAGTTCCCAGGAGCACAGTCTCTCTCCAGCCAGGAATTACTCAAGAGGCTGACACCAGTTCTATGGAACTGATATGTTTTACAAGGCTGTTGGACAGAGAATTCAATTGAATCATAATCGATGGACCAGGGTGTCAAGATCAAAATGTTAAAAAGAGAATGAGAGCAAGTTCAAATTGAATTCAACATTTTGAGATCTGAAAGTGAAAATGGATTTACAGTGAAAATGAATGATTCGATAAGGACAATTGCTTTTGAGAACATAGAGCAGCAAAGCTAGTGCCATTTCTAGTCAGGACATTATTCTTATGCAGCCCCTTCATAAAATCGATTTATTGCAATTCTTGTAATGCACAACGTTTGCCCGCAGACATTTCACAGAATTAGGCTTTGAAAAGTAGTTGATATACTGTTTAGCTTTGATTATTTGTTCCCTACCTTGCCAGCGTAATGAACTATACAGAAGTCTCCTTTATCCTTCAGTTGCTTAGGTTTGGCAAATTTTGTGTGGTTGCCCAGTTCCTGAACCACCTTCTCCACGAATGACTTGTCTGTGGCCTTGGGGAACCAACATTCTTCATCCAACAAAGACAAAATACCTGGTGGGTTCGTCTGGAAATGAGATTCAGGTAATACTTAACAGACCCAGCAAGTAAAACCAAAAATCCCTGATACATCAATTTGTTGATGAGGCAAGATACAGAAGGAAGAAGCACCGAGTTCAGCTCAGTGGTGTAAATATTCTCTGTTGCACTGCAGCTCTTGATAGTCAATTGGTTCTTTGACATTCTAATGCCCCAGTGGATTTGTTTCTGTAAATCTCAGAAATTCTACTCTTAAATTTTGTCATCATGAGGGGGTGCCAAGTAAAAATGAAATAATTTGCCTTGGTATATAATTGTTTAAAATGTAACAATGCTCATTATTTGAAAGAAATGTTAATGGTAAATCTATTTCTTTGCTATAGTACATGAGTAAGGTTATGTTCCTAGGTCTGTTTCAAACAGCAGGGTATTTGTTAAACTCCAAAACTCTGGGGATTAACAGTAAACCCTGAAGAAGAGGTTAAGAATCTTGATGAAGGACAGCAAACGGTGAACAGTGAATGGTGAACATTCAATGCAGGAATGGTGTCAGAGTTGGGAGACATATTGAGTGTCAGCTGCTCCTCATTGACGTAACTTATAAGGAATAGGAAACTCAGTACATACACCTATCAACAAAACCCACAGGGTACTGAGCTACAGAGACACGTCAATGATTCAGGTACATAATTTGAAATTTGCTTCACAGGTAGACAGGGTGGTTAAGAAGGTGTTTAGCATGATTGGCTTTATTGCTCAGACCGTTGAGTATCGGAGTTGGGACATCATGTTGAGGTTGTACAGGAAGTTGGTGAGGTCACTTTTGGTGTACAGTCTGCAGTTCTGAATGCCCTGACATAGGAAGGATATTTTCAAATTGGAGAGGGTACAGAAACAATTTACAAGGATGTTAATTGGTCTGGATGGCTTGACTTATAAAAATATAGTCTGGACAGGCTGAGACATTTTTCTCTGGAGGTTGAGTGGTGACCTTATAGAGGTTTATAAAATCATTAGGGCTATAGATAAGGGGAATAGCAAGAATCTTTCCCCTAGCGTGGGGGAGTTCAAAACTAAGGGGCATATTTTTAAGGTGAGAGGAGAAAGTTTTGAAAAAGGATATAAGGGGCAACATTTTCACGCAGAGTTTTTTGTATGTGGAATGAACTTCCAGAGGAAGTGGTGGATGCAGGTCCAGTTACGATGTTTAGAAGACACTTGGATAAGTCCATGAATAGGAAAGGTTTGGAGGGATATGGGCCAGGAGCTGGCTGATGGGACCAGTTTAGTTTGGGAATACGGTCAATGTGGACTGGTTAGACTAAAGGGTCTGTTTCCATATTGTATGACTCTATGACTCTGACTCTATGACTGTCGAGAAACAAGGAAAGCATTAAAACAATGGACATAGCACAGAGAAAAGGCACAATCCTGAATCTAGAAGTGTAGGTTACAAGGAAAGAGTGCAGAAACTTTCCTTTTTCAGCCTGGAATGGACATGTGTGAAAGGTGATCTTAAGGGGGGCATAAAACTTACAGATAATATGGAAGCAATTAATTTATAATTTGACTTTAAACATTGTGTAAATAGAACAAAGGGATACCAATTCAACCTGATTAAAGATAATTTCAGAATTGATATTGTGATGTAAGGTGTGTGACTTATATATATTTTATTATTATTTAATTCTGGGGCTTGGATTTTGAACTAGTGGCATATGGGTTTAGTATGTGCTTATGAAAGGGTTTAAACAGCGCAGATAATTATTGAACAAGCTTTGATTAAATGATGCTTCTTTTTTTTATCTTATATTCCTTACCACTCTTTCAATCAGTTCAATGCAGGGCTGCAGATCCAGTCCAAAGTCAATGAAATTCCATTCAATGCCCTCTCTCTGATACTCCTCCTGCTCCAGAATGAACATGGTGTGGTTGAACAACTGCTGCAGCTTCTCGTTAGTGTAATTGATGCAGAGCTGCTCAAAAGAATTGTCCTAAAAATAAATTAAAAGGAAGTTTGAATGTTAAAGAGCTTTTCAGCATTCTTATAACTGCTGCAGGGGAAAATGCATGTATCATTTAAAGAAGACACATGAATTGGAGATGAAGTCACCACAGTCACAAAGGACCATAGTCTGCCCTTTCATCAGAGAGAGAATACAATCACCACCAGTTGTCTAAGGGTCACCATGCCTCAGATGAGGGGCAAGGTGGAGAGGATAGGACCTTCATAGCAAATCCCATATCTGCTGATATGGGATTTGAGCCCCTGGCTGTTGATATGACTACACTGAGCTAACTGAGGCTGAAGAAATAAATTCTTCAATTGCAATTGCTGTAAAATCAGATTATATTGGGTGTTTGAAATCATACATCATCTTAATTTTGTTTACCGTAGATATAATGGAGACATTTATAGGACACATTCGTTCAAATATACAAGTTGTCACATTGATAAGACTCAGTTGATAATGTTGAACTTTCATCATAAGGATGGAGGTTCTCAATGCCCACTCAAAATTCCTTCTCGTGAATAAAACATTAATAACGAGGGAGAACTTCAACGAGGTTCCTCCAACCTCCTGCTCTAACTTAGTAGACAACATTGACAGTCGTTTCCAGCTTTCTACCACAGTTCCTTAGAAATGCTGCAGAGCAAAATCCTGCCAGCAGATTATCAGGAGCTGTGCGCCAGTTACAAACTACTGCTGATTTCACACCATCTGAGGCAGGTAGCATAAAGATTTAGGAATATTGGAGAATGGGATTCATCTTCAGTAATTAGCTCAATGGTGACTGTTTTTAGTCCTTGAGTATTGAATATTTCCATCCATGATGGGACATGGACAAGGGAACAATCCCATGATTGGAAAAGCTAACATTGGTCACATCAGCTGTTTCCTGCATTATCCTAGACATTTGGGAAACGGAACACATTCAATTTGAAAATAACAGTTGCTTATTTGACAAACAATTACCTGGAATATCTCAAAGCCAGCAATATCAAGAATTCCAAGGAATGTGGCACCTTGCCTCTTGGTCCTGTCCAGGGCCTTGTTGATACGAATGAGTAACCAACGAAACAGGCGTTCGTACATTGCTTTGGCCAGAGCTTCTACAGCAAAGTCAGCCTGCGACAGAAATATTTATTAGCCTTTTAAAAATGTTACGCTTCAGATGTAGAATTAAATTGACATTAACAGCTACTTGGAGATTATCAGTCACTCTCACAACTCGTCTCCCTTACATCATCAAATATCTCACAAATTTAAAAGCAGAGATCTGGGAAAAGGATCAAGTCAATCATGTGATTTTGGAACTCAACAAAAGTGTGGCAGACAGTCCTTCCCTGGTTCATTTTCCATGGCAATGCCTCGCCCAATCAGATTCAACTTGCCAATCACTCTGCACCCTTTACTTATGCAATATAAATTGTTGTTCCCTTTGAGATGAGGTCTTCTTGCATCTGTCCTGATGAGTTTGAGATGAAAAGCGTTGACAACACTTCTCCGTTTTCAACTATCCATCCTTCATCGTGAATTACCATTCCTCTTAGGAGTTGCTGTTTTGGGAAGATTTTTCTCTTGAATATTTCCTTTAGCTTAATCTTTTCTCCCATTGATCATACATCAGTGCAATGGAGAATCTACTCTTTTCACGTCCAGATTTCTTCGCTGACACTATTTTCTTTCCACCATTACCATCACTTGACTGACTGGAGTGGCACGGTGGCACAGTGGTTAGCACTGCTACCAAACAGCGCCAGGGATTGGATATGATTCCAGCCTCAGGCAACTGTTTGCATGGAGTTTGCCTGTGTGGGTTTCCTCTGGGTGCTCCAGTTTCCTCCCACAGTCCAAAGATGTGCAAGCTAGGTGGGTTGTTCATGCTAAATTGCCCCATAGTGTTCAGGGATGTGCAGATCAGGTGGATTAACCATGGGAATGCAGGGTTACAGGGATGAGGATCTGGGTGGGATGCTGTTCAAAGGGTCAGTGTGGACTCAAAGGGCTGAATGGCCTGCTTCCACACTGTAGGGATTCTATGATTCTCTGACCACCTGTCCAAATTCATAGAGTTTCATCCATGTTCTCCATACAGGACCGCTCTGTATCCATCGTTTGGTTGGTGTTTGATTGTAAAGCCCTGAAACATGGTAAATCTATCATTATGTTCTGCAGGGAGATGCTGTCAGATCTTGGTTTTCTGTTGCAGTACAAAATTGTTTCTCTCATGAATTTGGGTCACAGTCCAGGGCTGGCTTTGATATCTCCAATGCCTGATTTGCTCGCTTGATTCAGGACAAAGATTTAGATAGACGTGTGAGATACTAACCGTCCATTCTGGTGATTTTCAATGACGTGTTATGCAATTTTGTTTTACAGCAAGTAGCCATACGCTGACCTTGCCTCTGTTTGTACTTTGGCTTTAGGTGTCTCTCTAAGCTGTGCAAAGCTTCCTCCAACCATTAATGTTCTTCTCTGATATACGCTTCTATGTTTCTTCTCTGATGTCTTGAATTCTGTAGCTGCTGCAAAATTATTTCTCTGAACTCCAAACGTAATGACTTTACGTTTGGTCTGAACTGTGTATCTTTTCTCCCTTGTCACAACTGTCACATTGATGTAAAATGTGGACCACCAATCTTCCATTTCCATCATTGGAATTTAATACCTTTGCATCTTCATGGACTAAATAGACTTTTTGAAAAGGTTGGAGAAAATTACTTGGCCACAGATTGAAGCAGGGTCTGGAAACCAATGTAGAATAAAGACAATTTTCTGAACAGAAATAGTTATTTTTATACAGAAACGTTGAAACTAGTCAACTGAAGCAGGTGTAAAAAAACTCACTTCTTTTTTAATTTGCACTTTTATGCAATTCAGCACATATTAGTGATGAAAGGGCTTTCTGCAGCCATTCAGCTTGGAAAGACAATGGAGCCAGACTCAGGAACGGACAGATAAACCATCTTTCTGTAGCTGCTTGGCAGAGCAGCAGCAGAGAAGAAAAGAAAATGGATAGCTAACAGCAAGGACTGGAAACTTTTCTGTGTCTCCCTGTTTCCCCTCTCAGCCTCTCGGAGGCCAACACTAGTTATAAAGCAAATCATGCATCCACTGAAAACACAAGGGTTCTTCAAAGTTTGCTGCTGTGCGGATACAAGACTTCAACTAAACAGGTTAAACTATAACAACTCAAAATCTCAAATAACGTTTTAAATTGTCTATTCCTTTTCTTTCTATGGTACTAGAAACAATTCCTTTTCAAAAGTTTATACCTGTGTTCGTTCAACATTTTCCTTGGAGTTAGTAGGTAATAAAATTCCTCTTTCTCTCATTCAACGAAACTATGCATTTGATTCTTTAATTCTGATCTAGTGAGTATATTTTAATCAAAGTGAAATATAGCTGTGTGCTAAAAGGAGTTTAAAACTATCTTTGTAGAGTTTGTCTGTTAAAGTGAAGGAATCAGATATACCCCTCCTCACCTTGTCATAACAATATGATGTTATCATATTAATGGGCAGGATTGGCAGGACTAATGAGATGTTAACATGTGGAGCCGAATAGCCACCTTCAATAGCCACCTGAGTTCTGAGGTACGGTCACTTGACCTGAAACATTAACTCTGATTTCTCTCCACAGATGCTGCCAGACCTGCTGAGCTTTTCCGGCAATTTCTGTTTTTGTTTCTGATTTACAGCATCCACAGTTTTTTTTTTCGGTTTTAAGTCACCTTCAATGGTGCGCTATTCCATGTTTCTATGAGGTAGATTTACACTGAGGTAAGTTTGACTTCAGCAGAAAGTTGCTGGTGGTAATTTGGATGTTTTGGCTAAGAGTCAGAGTTGACCAATACAACTGATACAGGAACCAGCATCACCATATCAGCTTAGACGTAACCCAGAAAAGTTTCATCAATGTGACAGCTTCACTTCAACTGCCCTACCATAATGATAGCAATTCTTGATGCTTGCAATCGTATGTACTGCATTGTTTTTACTAATTCATAGTGAAATTAAACTGATCTTGATCTGTCAAGAGCAGGATTTCTGATTTGGAAATCAGACACGATACAGAGTGCTTTGTCCTAGGCACATTGATCAACTGCAGGGAATAATCCTTCCAAAGGAGCAAGTCTCTAGCTCTGCAAGGACAGTGGTACAGTTAGATAGTGTGTTTTGTAACCTACCAGCCTGGGACACAGTTCTGAGGAAGGGATACTGGACCCGAAATGTTAACTCTGTTTTCTCCTCCACAGATGCTGCCAGACCTGCTGAGCTTTTCCAGCAACTTTGTTTTTGAGCCTGGGACACTGTATCTGTTGTGCTTTTGGAAGCATAGAAAATGTAAACCATTCAGCCCATTGAGCCTGTCCCACCTTTCAACTTGACCCTGATTGACCCTGTGTCTCAATACAATACTCTCACTCTCCCTCCAAACCCCTTTACAACATTAGTTACTGGAAATCTATTTATTTCTTTCTTAAATATATTCAATAGCTAGTATCCACAGCCTTCATTGTAGAGAACTCCACAGTTTCACCACCCTCTGAGTGAAGAAATTTCTTCTCATCACAGTTAAAATAGTCTACCCTGTACCCTGAGACCATGACTCCTTCGTCTCTCAATCCCCCACGCACACCCCTCACCCCTAGCCAGAGGGAATATCCTCCCTGCATCCAGTCTGTGCATCCCTCGTAGAATTTTATACATTTCAGTGAGATCTTATCTCATTCTTTTAATCTCCAGTGAACATACACACAGCCTACTCAATTTCTCCACATATATCAGTCCCACTATCCCAGGAATCAATCTGGTGAACCTTCATTAGATTTCCTTGAAGGCAAGTTTCTCTTTTCTGAGGTAAGGAGACCAAACCTGCACACAATACTCCCGATACGGTCTCACCAAATTCCTGTACTCCATGCTCCTGTGCTTATTGACATGTTCAGTTTGGGAAGCCTGGTCAGCATGGACGAGTTGGGCCAAAGGGTCTGTTTCCATGCTGTAAGACTTGATGACATTTACAGCACAGAATCAGGGCCATTGTCTCTGCTCCAGTCGACAACAATTTCGACAAATGGAGTGCACTTCAAGAGGAGAAACAGAATGGCATGGAATTATTCAAGTGGAGATAGATTGGGAAGGGTTGTCTTACAAAGGGATTTGGGGGGCCATGTACACTGGTCAGTGAACGCAAGCAGTTAGGAAGGCAAATGACTTTCATGGACTTTCATTGAAGTGGTCTGTGGGGAGTTTAGCAAGGTTTGTGATGTAGTCTCACATGACTACAGGAAGGATGTTATTGGACTTGAGGGAGTTCTGAAAGGACTTGCAAGGATGTTGCCGGGATTAGCGAGTTTCAGCTGTGAGGAGAGGCTGAATGGACTGGGGTTATTTTTCTTGGACCATCAGAGGCTGAGGAGTGGTCTTATAGAGGTTTGTAGAATCACTGGAGGCATGGATAGGGTGAATGTGACTAGTCTGTGACTCCAGACCCTTCTGATCAAGATGGCAGCAGAGTAGGATGCTCCTGTCACAGCTCCTCTGCTCAGCCTGTTCTTTTTCCTCTTTTGTTTTCTTCTGCTCTCCCCTCAGCATCAGAGCCAGTGGCAAGTCCAGAGCAGCGAGCCTTCATGCCCCGGCAGCGAGCCCTGCAGCAGCACGTGGGGGAGAGCCCCGCAGCAGCACGTGGCGGAGAGCCCCGCAGCAGCACGTGGCGGAGAGCCCTGCAGCAGCACGTGGGGGGGGAGCCCCGCAGCAGCACGTGGGGGGGAGCCCCGCAGCAGCACGTGGGGGAGAGCCCCGCAGCAGCACGTGGGGGAGAGCCCTGCAGCAGCACGTGGGGGAGAGCCCTGCAGCAGCACGTGGGGGAGAGCCCTGCAGCTGCATGTGGGGGGAAGCCCCACAGCAGTACGTGGGAGACAGTCCCTCAGCAGCACGTGGGGGAGAGCCCTGCAGCAGTACGCTGGGGAGAGACCCGCAACAGCACATGAGGGAGAGCCCTGCAGTCCCACATGGGGGAGATCCCCGCAGCAGTACATGGGGGAGAGCCCTGCAGCAGTACGTGGGGGAGAGTACTACAGCATTGTGCGTGCTCGAGTGCGAGCGGGAGCAGGCGGCCAATGGAGGGGACACGTTCCTGGAGCGACGGAGGGTCCACATCCTCAGAGTGTCAGAGGGGCCGAGGGACACTCTCAGTGGCATGGTGTGGGCTGGGAAACCTGGAGCAAGACTGTGGCAGTGGCATGCTGTAGCAGTACAGAAGGGAAGTTTGGACTCTCTTTAAGTTATTTTTTTTTAAACTGCTTTATTCTAAATAAATGTGAATAGTGCTCATGCACAGCGATGGTACACACTTTTCACTGTATTTTGTATTGAATAAAGGAAACTCAAAGGAATGGCCAGGGTCTTTTTCCTGGGGCAGGAGAGTCCGAAACTAGAGGGCGTAGGTTTAAAGTGAGAGGGGAGGGATTTGGAAGGGACCTGGGGGGGGCAACGTTTTCTTACAGAGGGTGCGTGCGTGGGGCAGGCTGCCAGGGGAAGTGGCAGAGGCGGGTACAATTACAACATTTAAGGGGCATCTGGATGGGGACATGGATGGGAGGGTTTTGGAGGGATATGGGCCAAATGCTGGCAAACGGGAGTAGATTAATTTAGGATACCTGGTTGGTGCGGACGAGTTGGACTGAAGGATCTCTTTCCATGCTGTATAAAACTGTATGACTCGATGACAGACTGGCTGGTCATCTGCGATGGTCATGGTGAGCCACTCACTTCAAGGGCAGTCAGCTCCAGGCATGGTGCTGACCCGGCCTGTGGCATTCTGTGGAAGAATAAAGGTCAGGAATGGTTTGGGAATTCTTTTTACCTGCTCCTTGGTCTGGGCTTTCTGCACATAGTCACGTCCAACTTTGATGCGAGGACTCAGGATAGCTCTGGTGAAATCAGTCACATTCATACCCAGCAGGTGACACACCTTCTGTGCAACTTGACAAAGAAAACACACAGAACCAGTTACTGGCAATGGCTATCCCAGGCTGAGCATCCCAAACCTCCAGAGCGTGTGGAAAGACATACCTGTATTATCCGGCATCGAGGCCTGGTCAGTGTTTCGTTCCTTTTTGAAACTAATATTCCCCAGCTGCAGCACGGACGAAACAATCCTCAATATTGCTGGAAATATCAGAAGAGTTACTGATCAGCATCGGCAGCATTTCATCAGGCTGCGTTATAAATAAAACCGTTTACTTCCCATCGCTTGGTTTTCAAATGCAATTTCTTTCCAAATGGGGCTTTGGCTGCGCTCAACAGCAAGTTAAAACGCAACAAACATGACACTTATTCAAACAAATCTGCTGAAGAGGGCCTACTCGACAAGCTTGTAAAATAAGGCAAGGAATGCGTGGGGTTCTGTAAATGTAAATCTGACTAAAAAAGGCACCGTCTTCACTTCCAATTCTCACAAAATAATCACCAAGAAAAATATACAACAACTGGGAAGATAGCAATGGGCAGAGCTTTGTTCTGTTCTGTCTCCGTAACAAAAAATAACGCAGGAGTTCTTTGAGAAATACCAAGTATCAATAGAGATGTGATCTGAACAGATTTGTTAATTCTTTATTTTACTTTAAAGTGTTTTTTTTTATTGATTATATTAGCCTATTACATCTGTTGGCTGGATGAATTGGATTGATGTGCTCCCGTAGGAGAATGTTGTCTGATCATAAAGTTCACAAAAGGCAGTCAAGAACATTAGAACCAAGAGCAGGAACAGGCCATTCAGCCCCTCGAGCCTGCTCCGCCATTTAACACAATCATTGCTGATCTCCTCTCAGCCTCATCTCAACTTTCCTCTTTGCTCTCCGTAACCCTGCAACCCATTACTCATTAAAAATCTGTCTATCTGCTCCTCAAATTTGCTCAAAGTTCCAGCATCCCTCGCACGCTGGTGGACTGAATTCCATAGAGTCATGACCCTTTGAGAGAAATAACTTCTCCCCATTTCTGCTTTAAAACTGTCCTCTCTTATCCTAAAACTATGTCCTCTCATTCTAGATTTCCCCACATGAGGAAATATACTCTCTACGTCTACATTGTCAGTCCCCTTTAGCATCTTATATACCTCAATTAGATCTCCTCTCATTCTTCTAAAGTCCAGACAGCATAGGCCTAAACTGCCCAATTTCTTTGTACAGGACAAACCCCTCATCTCTGGAATCATGAGCATCAGAAATAGAAGCAGGAGTAGGCCATTCGGCCCTGAGAGCCTGCTCCACCATCCAATAGGATCATGGCTGATCTAACATTCCTCACATCCACTCTCCTGCCCTCTCCCTGTAACCCTTGATAACCCAATGGATCAACAATCTCTCTATCTCAGCCTTAAATACACACAAGGACTCTGCCCCCACAGCTCTCTGTGGCAAGGCGTTCCAAAGACTCACAACATTCTGAGAGAAGAAATTCCTCCTTATTTCAGTCTTAAATTGGTACCCCTTTATTCTGAGACCATGCCCTCTGGTCCTAGACTCCCATGAGGGGAAACATCCTCTCAGTATTTACCCTGTCAAGAGCCTTAAGAATACTGTATGTTACAATGTGATCACCTCTCATTCTTCTAAACCCCTAGTGAGTAGAATCCCAACCTGTTTAGCCTTTTCCAATAAGACAATCCCTTTCTACCAGGGATCATCCTAATGAACCTTCTCTGACCTGCCTCCAATGAAATGATATCCTTCCTTAAATAAGGGACCAAAACTGCTCACAGTCCTCCAAATGTGGTCTCACCAGCACCTTGTACAATTTGCAGTAAGACTTCCCAACCCTTATACTCCAACCTCCTTGAAATAAGGGCCAACATTCCATTAGCCTTCCTGATTACTTATCCAGTGAATAAAATGTTCTGAAACTGATCTGGAATGTTCTCATGGATGTACAAAGATAGGTAGGAAAGAATGTTACAAAGAGGACACAAGGAGGTTGCAGACAGAAGTCTGGCAGATGGAGTGTAATGTGAGAAAATGTGAAATTGATCACTTTTGACAAGAAGAATGAAAAAGCCAAGTATTATCTAAACAGAATTCACTGAAGAATTCTGAGGTGCACAGGGATCTCGCTGATTAGTGCATGACTCAGTAAAAGGTTAGTGTCGAGGTACAGCATGTAATAAGGAAGGTTACTAGAATGCTAGCCTTTTTTCCGAGGGGAATTGAACAGAAAAGTAAAGGTATTCTGCGTCAGTCATACAGGGCATTGGTGAGGCCACACCACAAATACAGTGTGCAGTTTCAAATGTAATTTATGTTGGAGGTGGTTCAGAGTAGGTTTACTGGAGTGATTCCCAGAATGAGGGGGGGTGTTTTATGAGGAAAAGTTGGACAGACTGGGCTGGTTTCCCCTGGAGTTTAGAGAGTGAGGGGTGACGCGATTGAAATGCATCAGATCCTGAATAGTCTAGACAAGGTGGGTGTGGAAAGTATGTTTCCTCTTGCATCCACAACTGGGGCAAAATATTTTAAAATTAGGAGTTGCCCTTTTAAGGACAGAGATGAATTATTTTCTCTCAGAGGGTTGTGAGACTTTGGAACTCTCTGCCTCAGGAGGAGGGATCATTGAATAATTTTAGGATGGAGGTGGATAGATTTTTGGTAGCCAGGGAAGTGAGAATTATTGGTAGGATTAGGAATGTGGAATGTGAAACACAAACAGACCAGCCATGATCTTACCAAATGGTGGAGCAGGCTCAAAGGGCTGAATGGCCTCTGCAGCCCTTAGTTCGTCTGTTTGCATGTTTCTGACCTGCATTGTTCCAGCGTTGTGGCCCTAAATGTAAGATTTAAACCAGCTGGGAGTCCAGCTCCAATCAGCTCAGTGAGGGGGAGGATGCTGAGTCATGGAGTTATCATCGATATAATATCATTATTTCTATTAATGCCTTCCAGTTTGCAGCATTTTCATGGTCATTGGTTCGACCTTCAAGTGATGTAAATCGAGATTGTAACCATCTGATATTTGCTCACGGACATCTGTTTGCAGATGAATTTAAATGTCAAAAGTTATGCATGGATTCTGTTCAAATATTGTATTTGGGTGTAAATTATTGTCCAACGTGTGTGAAATGTGTACGAAGTGGTGAATAACTAATTGCCCAATATATGTGAATTTGTGTGTGAGTTATTGCAGAAGAAGAGTCTTCAACATGAGTATGAATCACCAAAAAGTTACTTTTGAATTTTGCCCCTTTAGGTTTCCCTTTTTGGGCTGAGGTGTGTGACAGCTCCAAAACTTTATATGTTCATTTTAATTCTGATATTCTTTCCATCCACTGTGCCAACATGACAAAGACAATATTTGCCAAATTATAAATTGATGCACTTTGGTTGTTGCTGGCCGTGTAATTTCATTCTGTCAAACACCATTTATGGAGACTTGGCCTCAGAAGCGTCATCTGATTCCTTGACACTTTTGTTCCTTTGAGGAGAATCCAACGGCCCATTTTTAGTGAAGCCTTAAAAGTCTTTAAAACCAAGTTTCGCCAATCTGTACAGTGCCAAGATATTTTAGCACAAGATAAACAATTCCACAGAAAACATATTACTCTGTGAGAAGAGTTGGATACAAATCCACAATTTACTGCAGCAATTGTCAACTTGTCATAATTACATTTTGACATTGTGCCAAAATGTAAAGGGGGAGGATGAGAGATAACACTTGTTCAAATGGTTTACTACAGCTGCGATAGAGTTAGGGACAGGGACAGTGTCAGGGACAGAGTCAGGGTTAGGGACAGAGTCAGGGTCAGGGTTAGGGACAGGGTCAGGGACAGGGTCAGGGTCAGGCATAGGGACAGGGTCAGGGTTAGGGGCAGGGGTTAGGGTCAGGCATAGGGACAGGGTCAGGGTCAGTTTAGGCATAGGGACAGGGTCAGGGTTAGGGACAGGGTCAGGGACAGGGTCAGGGTCAGGGGCAGGGGTTAGGGTCAGGCATAGGGACAGGGTCAGGGTCAGTTTAGGCATAGGGACAGGGTCAGGGTTAGGGACAGGGTCAGGGTTAGG